GATGATGCCTGGCCGATGTGCGCAAGCCACAGCCAATATCTACCTGCCGATGCGCACAGGCCACGTCCGATATGTGTAGGCCTTGGCAGATGCTGCCTGCCGTTGCCCGACGTTGCTTGCCCGATGCGCACACGCCACGTCCAATGCGTGCTGGCCTTGACTGATTCCGCCTGCCGTTGGATGACGTTTCTTGCCTGATGCGCACATGACACGTCTAATGCATGCAGGCCTTGGTTGTTGTCGCCTGCCCTTGGATTATGTCACTTGCATGATGCGCACATGCCACGTCCAATGTGTAAAGGACTTGGCTGATGCTACCTGCCGTTGGCCGACGTCGCTTGTACGATATGCATAGGCTTTGGCTGATCTCGCCTAGCCCCGAACGTGGAATGCCCGTGCTGCCTACATAGATCCATATGGCCCTTGAATTCTTACTTGGATTTAGAATCACCCCAGACATCGCGAAATACCTCTTATAGCGACATCGTTATTAGTCCCTTAACATTTCATTATACATGAGAAATGAAACCAATGTCACGAAATACTTCGCAATAAGTAATCGTTATTGAACACGTGTTTGATCGGCATAGAACTTATAGTTCAACACGTAGCAGCAAAGTAGTAAATTTCACGGACCATGTTATTCTCGGAACTTATATTTCAACAGTTAGTGCTTTCTTTCCTTCCAAGGATGCAAGCATAACATGAACCTCTCATTTGAAATGTTAGAAATGATTGGATTTGAGGTTGGGGGAGGTGGAAGGTTGGGAAATGGAATCGGAGTGACAAAGGGTTGTATCTCAGTGGATCGTGGCAGCAAGGCCACTCTTCCACTTACAATAACCCGTCACGTATTTATGTCTTCTACAAAGGATTCTACCCACCGCTCAATTGAAATTGTACTTCAAGGCAGTCACCGCGCCGATTCCATCGCGGTGACTTAGCCAACAAAACGATCCCTTGGGGGCTAATGGCCCCTACTGCGGGTCGGCAAGCCAATGGTGAGCGCATGCATCGCTTCTTGCCTGGATTCTAACTTAGAGGCGTTCATTCATAATCCAACACATGGTAGCTTCGCGCCACTGGCTTT